AAACGAGGATATGTAGAGTTGTAATTGCAGGAATGTTCCAATCTCGGGTGGCAAACCTCAGATAAAGAATGTTTCCAAGCAAATACAACTCAGGTAAACAAAGTCACTAATCTAAAGGAGGATTAGAGAGAGGAAGTAAACATACATTAGACTTTAACTAGAGATAATTAATTGTATTAATAATTACTGTGCTAAACAGTAACAAAAGTTAAGCAATAACCAAAGTTAACCAATGATGGAGGATAATTAAAAATGTGTATAAATGCAAGACTAGACTCCAATAAAGATCATCATGATTCAGTTGTTCATGATCAAACAACTCGATTGCCTCATCATTACAACAAAAAGGACCTTGGAGTCCTTTCCAGGGGTCGCCAACGTTTGAACTTTGGGGACCACCAATCTTATAATTTTAAATCCCGCGGACCACTAATATGAATTTTGACTAATGGTGGCTTGCTGACATTGGTGGGAAAGTCAGTCCCATATTCCAGAGCTGCAGTAGTCACAGGACTGGCCCTTTGGTCATCCCAGAGCAGCTGCTCCTCCACCCATGTGCACCAGTCTGCCATGGACTGGAGGAGCTGCTCCTGGATGACCAAAGGGCCAGTCTTGTGACTCCTGCAGCTCTGGAATATGGGACTGACTTTCCCACCAACATCAGCAAGCCACCCCAGGGCGGATTTCCCTTCCCTGCCGTTGGTCTTACCTTCCAGTTCCAGTTCGCGTGGCTCTACTCAAGGTAAGGTTTGCACTCGGCCGAAGGGTGGGAGCCAGTGGATAGGCGGGCCATGTGGGCAGCGCAACCTTGTGTTCCCATGCAACCTGGATTAATTGCTTTGTGGGGAGTGCTTGGGGGGGGGGAACATTTCTCTGTAGAGCACCAAAATTTTCTTGCAGACCACCAGTGGTCCCTGGCCCACCGAGCAGACAACCACTGTCCAACTCCTTGCTCAGGCCGGAGACCCTATACCATTGCTGGACAGATGGCTGTCCAGTCTTTTCTTAAAAATCTCCAGTGATGAAGCACTTACAACTTCTGAAGGCAAGCCAGTTAATTATCTTCACTGTTAGGAAAAGTTTCTCCTTAATTTCAGGTTGCTTCCCTCCTTGATTAGTTTCCATCCATTGTTTCTTATTCTGCCCTCCCGTACTTTGGAAAATAAATTGATCCCTTCTTTCTTTGTGGCAACCCCTCAAATACAGGAATACTGCTATCCTGTCACCCCTAGTTCTTTTCTCTAGTCTGGCCATACCCAATTCATTTTAGGGTGTATGTGGGAGGAAAAGACCAAGATAGAAATAATTGAACAGCAGGATAGTAATTATTGTTTACACTTCTCTTCTGATTAAAAGCATTGTTACTCCTTGGTTGCTGAGCAATTTCCATAACATTTCAATTCTGGCTGGATTTCACAAGCAAATCAAAAGATCTATGGGTAGTCCTTGACTTTTCAGTCACTTGAATTATCAATTAAGGCGGTGATAGGCTGACACAACAGATACTTCCTGAACTTGTATATGACAGGGCAACCACATCCAAAGACATGTTTTGGCATGCTGCACTCCAGCCTCTAGATCTTGGAATTTCAGTCACTAAGTAATGTCATCATTAAAAACAAGATGTCACATGATTGCTTTTAGACTGTAATCCTGTCTTCCCTGTTGCACCTTAATAAAAAATCGTGTGTATCAAGCTAATCGATTCTGGCCTTGGTGCCTCCCAGCCCTGACCCTCAGTAACCTAAGGGGCTGATTCCAAATGTCCCCACCTGTTTATCTTCCCCCTATCTTCGTCCGAGCTCATTTTAGTTTGTTGTTTTGTTTGTTTTTTTGCTCCCACTGCTGATGAGGCATGCCTGGTCTGGCTAATGGGCCAGGCTGAACTGAGCTTCAGCTGCACAGGACTGGGTCAGACAATTGAAAGCAGTCCCTACGTGACGGCATGGCGAAAATGCTCCTTTTTTTCAAAAAGCTGGACTGCAACATACCAAAACACCCATTGGTTGCCCTGCCACACACAGTGTTGTTTATGTTGGTTGTCCTGCCACACACAATGTTGGTTGCCCTATCACACACAAGTTCAATAAGTCTCTGTTGAGCCAGCCTATCACTGTCCTAATTATTTTATCTCCATCTGTCAGGAGAGGATATTCTCAAACAGTCCTCATACATTTTGAAAAGAACAGCAAATTTTCATCTCTTACGTGTACCTTCTGTTTTCAAACTTTACTCGTACGTACCCTTCCATTATGTGGGCTTAAACTAACTTCAGCACCCTGTCATTTTTTCCATCACTTTATTTGCCGTGATGGTTTTATCCAGAAGTCAAGAGAGTGGAGCGCAATAAGCAAGAGAAGCATTTGGGGGATTAATTCTTGCCCTGTCAAAATTCACTTGGCCTCTTACGGATAGTCCTTGTCTTATAACCAAAATTGAGCAGAACATTTCTGTTGCTAAGCAAGATTGTTGCTAAGTGGGTTTTGCCCGATTTTAAGATCTTTCTTGCCATAGTTTTTAAGTTAGCAACACAATTGTTAAGTGAATCTGTCTTCCCTAATGACTTTGCTTATCAGAAGGTTGCAAAAGGTGGTCTTATGACCCTGGGGACCCTGGAACAATCCTGAATCTAAATCAGTTGCCAAGCATCTGAATTTTGATCGCATGACCACGAGGATGCTGCAATACTCCTAAGTGTGAAAAATGGTCATACGTCACTTTTTTCAGTGCCGTTGTAGCTTTAAATGGTCACTAAACGATCTGTTTGTAAGTTGAGGACTACCTTTATTTGTTTGTGAGGCTCAGTCTCATCTCTAGCCATCCGTTGCTTTCACATTTGCTTTCTAATTCCTGATTTGGGGCTCATCTTTATGAATATGTGGTGCTCCTCCTTTCCATGCTTACCATATTGATCCTTTGTGGATTGCCATCTCTTTCCTTTAAGAAAGAAGACATGTCTTTGAGCGCCTCTTAAATTAACGTGCTGAATATGCTGTTAGTTTAAGAACCACCCAGTTAGTTCTTTTGTGTTTATACTGCCTGCAGGCTATACATGGCCCTCTAGCTGCACAGTTTAACAATATTAATCATTCTAGCTGACTGCAAGCTGCATAATCCAAAGTATTCTGCCACAGAAATATTCCCAACGTTCTCATTTACAGCTATCTAGTGCCGAGAGAAAAAGTTAGATTAGGTGGCGTTTGTTTTGATGATCCTCAGATCCACCTTTGACCATTGATTTCCTAACGCTTGTATGATTTCTTGTAAAACAAAGAAAACAAGTATCTGCAGTGTAGGCTCTAAAATAGGTCAATATAATGTACAAACATGCCCTGAATTCCCTTTAAAGCTTGGGAGGAGGGAGGAGGGAGAAAATTCTGATTCCATTTACGTTGGATCATCAGCCACTCATCATGACTCTCAGCCACCCACAATATTAAATGTAGTCTCAAGCCAGCAAAAGCTTGACTTTTCTAACCTTACGTTATACGTCATAGTTCTGGATGGGATGGCAGTCGCAGCAAATGCCAGTATGTTATAGTCGTTAAATGTGGACCTGGAACAGAGTCCCAGATCTAATCTACCCTAAATGGTGCAATCTCATGGGCGGCTTTGAGCTAGTAATTCTCTTGTTCCCCAATACAGATAGTTCTTGACTTAGGACTATAATTGAGCTTGGAATTACATGATCACACCCAATTTTACAACCTTTTTGCAGGCTTTATTATATCAAGCTATTTTTTGCCAGGAACCAGAAGTAAATACAGGTAGTCCTCAACTTACAACCACAATGGAGCCCAAAATTTATGTTGCTAAGTGAAACATTTGTTAAGTGAATTTTACCGAATTTTATGACCTTTCTTGGCACCTTTGCTAAGTGAATTACTGCAGTTAAGTTGGTATCACGGTTGTTAAATGAATCTGGCTTCTCCATTGACTTTGTCAGAAGGACGCAAAAGGGGATCACAACAACCGTCATAAATATGAGTCGATCACCAAGCACCTGAGTTTTGATCACATGACCATGGGGATACTGCAACGTTCGTAAGTCACTTTCAGTCCTGTTTTAATTTCGAGCAGTCACTAAATGAACTGTTGTAAGTTGAGAACTATCTGTACCAGTTCCTGGCAAAAAAGAAATATCAAAAATCGCAATCACATGACTGGAAGATGTCGCAAAAGGTTTTGAACACAGGCTGGTTGCCAAGCACCTCAAACATGATCATATGACCATTGGAACTTTGAAACTGAATTGTAAATAGATGTGGGAAAGTCCGTTGTAACTTCAAGTGGTTACTGATTGTCCTCAGCCAAGGATTATCTTTATACATCACAGGGTGATTTTTATGGAGAACAATAGGAAATGTTATATACAATGCTACAGTCTATAACTGTATAAGTTTAGAATAGAATAGAATAGAATAGAATAGAATAGAATAGAATAGAATAGAATAGAATAGAATATTGGGCAAGTGTGATTGGACCCACAAGGAATTTGTCTTGGTGCAAATACTCTTAGTGTACATAAAAGAAAAGATATATTTGTTAAGAGTCAAGAATCTATTCTATTCTAAATAAGAATAAAGGCCGAAATATTAAAACCAAGTTCTGTTTTATTTAGTTTCTTGTTTGCTTATACAAGAACAATTTTGGGGTTAAGGTCATTAAAAAAAGTACTTCATAACTTATTTCAGTAAATTAATCACAGATTTTAAAATTTATTTTTCAATTAACAAAATTAACAAAACCAAAGAGAAATAACACACATAATTATAAAAGAAGAAAACAGAACACTTAAAAAAAAGAATTTTTGCACTTTGCATTACACATTCAAAATTGAAATTCTCCATGAAGGGAACTACCTAGCTATTAGGGGACAGAAAACAAAAGAAAGCGTGTGCACACACATGTGTATGTGTATGTGTATGTATATATTATATATAATAATATAATATATATGCATATTCGTACACACACATGCACACGCACACATACACATACATAACATACATACATACATACACACACACACACATACATGTTCACTTACTGTTTATTTCGTCCTGTTAACAAGACCTAGAATGGAGAAGATTTTATGAGGCTTGTGTTCATATATTCATATGTTCTTATTACACTTTATTTAAGTAATAATTATAGTTCATAAAAGGTATTACTGAGCAGGTGTTGAAATAATAGATATAGATTGAAAAAAATTCATATGAGTGAACAGTGTGAGGTGGCTTCAATAGAAGCATTTATGTTGATTTTTATCACACTTTTATTATATTTTTATAAATAATTCAAAATTGTGACCATACCTAGTACTCCCTTTTTCTCCTGTTTTTTCCACTGCAGCAACCCCTTGAGGTGGGTTAGATAGAGAAAGTGACTGGCCCAAAGTCCACTTTCATGCTTAAGGAAGGATTAGAATTTACAGTCTCCTGGTTTCTAGCCTGATGCCTTAAACCCGTGGTCCCCAAACTTGGCTATGCTGGCTGGAGAATTCTGGGAGTTGAAGTCCACAAGTCTTAAAGTTGCGAAGTTTGGAGACTTCTGCCTTAAACACTAAACCAAACTGGCTAGGATCAAACTTCCAAACTTGGTTTCTAAATCTCAGGAAACAGTAATTCCAATATAATCTGCACTGGTTATACCTCAACCTGAGAATACTATGACCTATTCTTAGAGCAGTAGAGAAGAATGGTCGGTGACTTGAAAAGAAGTCCTCTGAAGAGAGAATATTTAGCTTTAAGAAAAGACAAGTGTGGAAAGGTACAGAAACGTTTTTCTTCCAGTTCCGAAGTGCTGTCCCTTAGAAGGTTAAGGTTTGTTTTCTGTCATTCTGGAGCATAATAATTTTCTTAAGTTACGAAAAGACAGATTTCAGCTAAATAATAAGAAACATCTCAAAGCACTCAACAGTAGAACCAGTTTTCAAGGAAGACAATGGCTTCCTCTCACTAAATTTGTTCAAACAAGAGCAGAGTAATAATCTGTCAGGTCTATTTTGATGTTAGTGTCTTACTGTTGGTTGTAATCAAGTTTTTCGAACTTGGCAACTGTAAAATGTCTGTACTTCAATTCCTACAATTCCCAGACAACATGCCAAGTTTGAAAAACCGTGGAGTAGATTATCGTCTCCATCTCTATGATTCTGTGTTTTATGTTGGGACAGAACAAGAAGGATTATAAAACCAGTAACTAAGATTCCAGCATCTTTAATCATGGTAGCATGTCTCTGATCTTGATGTATTTGGAAAAGAAGATAAAAAATAGCTGTCAGTTTTGGGAAACGATGGCAATGCTAACATTTTGAGAGTGGGATTCAATAGCTACAAAAATGTGGCAATGTATATCTAAATGGTATATTTTAATTTTACCAATTTGGTAGGTGACTGCATTTTAGGCCAACCTCTTGTTTTCTGCTGTGCTTTGAAAAGTAGTCAAAAACATCAGCAAAAAGGATGTAATCCCTGCTTTGTTCCTCATGTATTTGCACATGGAAAACGCTGGGGATAGACCAGGCCAGACTGAGAGATGACTAACAATAGTCTTTCCCAGCAACAGTGGCTTCATCAAGCAGTAATTAAAATTAATTCAAAATAAATAGCCCCTATGACCACAACTGGGATTGGAATTTCCATCACTGGGCAAGGTCATCATTAACTGACTTGTATCTGATTTTGTGGCCTTTTTGCCTTGGTTATAACCTCATTCATTACAGAATCATACTGCTATTAAGCAAATCTTAACCGTCCCCTATTGAATTTGCTTATCAGAAACCAGCTGGGAGAGAATAATAAATGGCAATTATATGACTCTGGGGTGCTATAATCATTGTAAATACAAGCCAGTTGTCAAGTACCTGAATTTTTAAAATGACTGTGGAAGATGCTGCAGTTGTCATATGTGTGAAGACCAGTTTTAAGCCCCTTCTTTTCAGCACCGTGGTAACTTCAAACAGTAGCTAAATGAACGCTCCGAAATCAAGGACTACCTAATTAAAAGTGTTACAGCCAGTGTTCCTTTAATATGTTCCACAGGAGGCCACTGTTTTTGCCTACAATTTCCAGATTGAGTTATGAGTGTGTCTAAGAATAGTTTAACTTCGTATATGCATTCACTCACCATGGCAGTGCAAATCATCAGAAACAATACTCTTAAGACATTTCAAGGAAGGAAATAATAACCTTTAATCTTCAGCTCCATAAAGTATTGCAACTTGAAGCTATACACTATTCTTAGACACACTCATAACTCAATCTCCGTTTAGACCTCTGCAGGCCTCAGCCAGCATTTTTCTGTTGAAAATGGAGCATTGGTGGGGTGGGGCAGGCTGACCCGCCTCTCCTAACCTCCGTTTTGCCCAGCAAAGTGCAGAACAAATGTTGCAGAGCCTCTGCGGTTGTTTGTAAAGGAGAACAGCAGCTGTGGTGCTGCAAGATTCAGTTTCGGGATTTGTTCATAAACATTAGGGGGCGCTGATCGTGTAACTTCAAACATTCGCTAATGGAATGCTCATAACTTGGGGATTACCTGTGTCATACTGTTTGTGCCACACCCAAGGATGCTGAAAAATGCTTTCAAAGGATATTTAGTGAAATCTTCATCACTAGGAGAAAAGATGTTTGCATCACTGATTTAAAGCAATTAAGTCTTTAAATATAAACTAGTAGTTAAAATGGCATTATGTGATGACATAATGATGAAATAAAGAAGTCACTAACATTACTTTGTTAATTTTCAGTTACCTTGACAGAAACATTTGAAATCAATGATAAATTGATGAGATTTTTTGATCACTGTGAAAAATTTGTACAAGACGTTGAAGACAATGACACAGCCTTATATGAGGTTGACGCCTTTAAGGAAAGCCCTGAGATGATGAAGATAGTGAATAAAACCATACAAAATTTATGTTTACCAGCAGAAGACTTAAATGCAGGTAATACTCTGTCATTAATGTCATAGTTTTAATTCCTTTAGTGTCTTTTGGCAGTGTTTCTTGTTTTCGGTGTCTATCTGAGTTTCTTTCTTCTTCCTTTAACTCCGCCTCACTGGAATTTCTTTGTTCTTCTGCCATCGCCATTATTTTCTTTTCCAATATTTCCAGTAATTCCCTTCTTTCTTTCAGCATTCCTCTTACAGTTTGCAATTCCAACTTAAAGTCTTTGCTTTTTTTCTCCAAGCACCCAAATTTTGATCTTGTGACTATGGGGACTGCTCCAGTTATAAGTATGAGGACTGCTCGTAAGTTGCTTTTTTCAACACAGTCATAACTTCGAATGGCTGTTAAATGAATGGACATAAATTAAGGACTACCTGCACATTTGCCACTAAGAGTAAAAACTGAAACTTGATTCACGTTTATGTGGTAGCCTGAAGAGAGGAGACAGACGTTTACCATTGAGTCCCACTGGTTGGAAAGGCTTTGTATGATCAAGTGTGGAGGACAGAAAGGAAGTAACCTATCAGCAATTTTCATGCAAAGCTCAGGTAATTCAATCCCCAAACGTGTAACTGCCGTAGAACATCCACTGCTAGCAAGCTGAGTAGCTACTAACTAATAATATCCTTGCAATCGGACATTGTTTATACTTCCCTTTAGTAAGGGTTGAGTAAACGCATGCTACAGATATTAGGATCACTGTCTTTTCAAAAACCCGAATAGGAGAAAAACCTTAAAATTCCTCAGAGTAACAATGTTGAGTTATATAAGCAGTGGGCTTTTTAATTAGAATATTCTGAATGATAGAAAATACAGTAAGTACAAGTAGATAGGTAAATAACTAGGTTGTCCTATTGTATGCATGCTGATTTTGTATAGTATATTAGTATCTGCCTACATATGAGCATGTAGAAAAGATAATATATTAAGTTTCAGGTTTCACACTTTGCAGCTTAAATGAACATTTGGACCAAGTTTGCAAGCACCTCCAGAAAATAAGGACTTATAAAAATTCTGTTTTTGCTTATACTAATCAAACAAATTCACTGCAAACCCATAACACCTGTCTGCATATCATTTATGAATAATATAGATAAGTTTGTATGAAACACCTGGCAGTTCGTACTTCATATTTTATACATCTTGACATCTGACTGCAAATTGTAGGTGTAGAAATTGTAGATAAACCAATAATCTCTGTATGGTGCTATGCATTCGGTGGAATTGCAAGAATTGTCTGGGAAAAAAGGTAACAACTTGGTTTGTGGTACTTTGTGTTCTACTACCACATTGCTTCTCTGTATATAGGGCTCTGTTCCTGGGTTATTGTTTCTGTTTCCTTTTTTTCTTCACTGATATGGCAGTATTGTAAAGAAATGTTTTCTCCTTTTTTGAAGTGATTTTTTTCACCTGGCCATTTTTGAATAAGTATCTTAAAAACCAATTTAGCTTATTGCTATCTTATTGTTCCTTTTCCTCCCCTGCAGATTTGGTTCAAGTGGCATTTTTTACTTGCTCCTTTGGGCTAAGTATAAAAAACATTAGCTCCCCCTGGTGTTCACTGTTCAACAAAGAAGATGCCAAGGTAAGTGTTGACTACAGGTAGTCCTTGACTTATGACCACAACAGAGCCCAAATTTTCTGTGGTTGAGTGCAGGGGTGGGGTGCAAATATTTTTTTTTTTTTTTATAAATTTTTATTATTTTTTTAACATAAAAAACACAACAACAAAACATAAAAGTATCAGCTCCCCCATATTTTTGTACACACAGTAAGTCGGTTGGTCCATCGGTTTTGTGCATTCACCTCATAGTCACAATTACAGTTACTTTATATAATACTCTTATCAATACAAATTTATAAATCCTAGTATCGCTATTAAAGAAAAAAAAAAATTTGACTAAACTTTTATTCGGTCATGCCTTTATGAGATAACTATATTTTAAATATTTTATTCTAAAACAAATCTTATAATCATACCAATTCTATCCCAAATATGAAAAAGAAAGAAACAAAGAAAACTATTATATAGATATAGTATCAAAAACCAATAAAAGGAAAAGGAAAATAAAGTCATTATTATTCCTTATTGTCTAACTTTTATATTTTAATATTTCATCATTCAACCATTGATAGAAAAGATCCCAAACTAAATAAAATTGTTTATCTTCTTGCTCTCTAATTTCAAAAGTCAATCTACTCATCTCAGCACATTCCAAAATTTTCTTTACAACTTCTTCTTGCAATGGAATTTTCTCATTTTTCCAATTTTTTGCAAATACAATCCTAGCAGCAGTCAATACATTTACAATCAAATATTTCAACTCTTTACTATAAGTATCTGGTAGTATTCCCAATAGAAAAAACTCCGGTTTCAAGTCTATATGCTTCTTTGTCATTTTTTCCAGCCACATGTGGATTTTAGTCCAATATTTTCTAGCATCCTCACAAGTCCACCACATGTGATAGTATGAACCAGGTTTCTGATGACATTTCCAGCATTTTTCGGATTTGTTCTTGAACATTCTTGCTATCCTTGTCGGGGGAAAATGCCACCTGTAAAACATCTTATACAAGTTTTCTTTATAGGCTGTAGACATTGTCATTTTATAATTTTGCGACCATAATTTCTGCCATTTCTCTAAATCAATCCCATATCCAAAATTCCTCCCCCACGCAATCATAGTTTCTTTAACTTGTTCTTCCTCAAGCTTAATTTGCAATAAATAACCATACAATTTTTTAATCACCTTTTCATCAGTACCCATCAAAATCTTATCCAAGTCAGTTTGCTTATCATAAAATCCCTCTGCTTTGGAATCCTCATAGTACTTTGAATGTATTTGCAAATATGAAAACCAATTCATCTGTATACCTTGTTCTTCCAATTTTTGCATCGATTTAAGTTCACCCTTTTCATCTAATAATTCCCCATAGTTAACTGTTTGTTCCTTTTTATAAATTATAGGATAAGAAAACGCTTCTATCGTCGATAACCAAACTGGAATTTTCAAATAACACTGTTTTTTTATCTTCTCCCAATTCAACCACAGAGACTCCCGTATATAATATCTTCTAAAATACCCCTGTGTTTTAGTTCCCTTGTACCATAAAAAAGCATGCCAGCCCAACAACAAATCATGACCTTCTAATGTCAACAATCTGGTTTTCCTTAATGTTATCCATTCTTTAACCCACGTCAAGTTTGCAGCTTGGTAGTACAACTCCCAATTAGGCAGACCAAACCCTCCTCTAAATCTAGCATCCTGTAAAAGCTTTAACTTTATTCTTGCTTTCTTGCCTTGCCATATATACTTCAAAACAATTTTATTTAAATCCTCAAAATATTCTTTTCCAAGCCTAATTGGTATTGTTTGAAACAAAAATAAGACTCTGGGTAAAATGTTCATCTTGATTGTTGAAATCCTTCCTATTAATGACAGTTGTAAGTTCTCCCATTTTTTCAAATCTTGAGCTATCTGTTGTTTAAGTTTAATATAATTATTCTCCTTCAATGTACTACATCTTGATGTCAAATATATCCCCAGATACTTAACCTTGTTTGTAACTTGAATTTTTAACAGTTCTGCCAACTCTTCCCTTTGTTTCAGCAACATATTCTTTGACAAAATCTTTGTTTTATCTCTATTTATTTTCAAACCAGCCACCTCCCCATAGACCTCTATCTTTTCCAACAGTTTCGAGGCTGTTTCTATAGGGTCTTCCAAGATAAAGACTAGGTCATCTGCAAAGGCTTGTAGTTTAAATTCTTCCTTTTTAATTTTCATTCCTTTTATAGTTTTATCTTCTCTGATATTTCTATTCAACACTTCCAAAGTCAATACAAATATCAAGGGAGAAAGAGGACAACCTTGTCTTGTGCCTTTTCTTGTGCAAATATTTTTACTACTGGTTCTGTGGGCGTGGCTAGGTGGGTGTGGCCATGTGACTGGGTGGGCGTGGCTTTTTTTTTTTCAGCAGCAGCACCCCCTTTGCTCCATTTTTTTGTTTTTTGCCTCCTGGGCAAAGCAGTAAGACAGCGAGGGGGATCCCGGTACGACTGATCACCGGAACAGCTGGTCATTGGGAGGGAAAAAGAAAGAGAAGAAATACTAGTTTGGCTGAATCGGTAGCTATTTTTCACTACCGATTCGGCCGAACTGTAACATTTTTTACTACCGGGTCGCCCGAACTGGGCCGAACCGGTAGAATACCACCACTGGTTAAGTGAGTTTTGCCCCATATTACGGCCTTTCTTACCACATTTGTTAAGTGAATCCCTGCCACTGTTCAGTTAGTAACATGTTTGTGAAATGAATCTGGCTTCCCCACTGACTTTGCTTGTCAGAAGGTTGCAGAAGGACATCACATGACCCAAGGGCACTGCAGTCGTCATAAAAACCAACCAGTTGCCAAGCAAAGAAATTTTGATTATATGACCAAGGGGATGCTGCAGCGGTTGTAAGTGTGAAAATGGGCATGTCATTTTTTTCAGTGATGTTGTAACTTTGAATGGTCATTGAATGAACTGTTGTAAGTCGAGGACTACCTGTATTATCTTTAAGCCATTCAATGTGAAATACCAGAGTATCCCATCTAAACAGGCATTTTTAATTGAACAGAATGTTCAATATTTATTTCTAGGTACTTGAGTATCTGAATGATCTCAAACAGTACTGGAAGAGAGCCTATGGATATAATATTAACAGTCAGTCCAGCTGCATACTTTTCCAAGATATCTTCAAAAATTTGGACAAGGCAGTTTCAGAGAGTAAAAGGTATGTTTTGAAGGGGAGGAGGGGAACACTTCTTTGGGACTGATAACTTGCAATACTAGATTGGCTGATTGATACTTGATAGCAATAAGTTGGCTCTGACTACTTGAATGTATTTGTATCTAGTTAGTATTTCTGTCCAACATTTTAAAACATTTTTGAGATTTTAAAAACAAAAGTATAAAATGTTTTTTTTCTGAATAAGCCATAATCCAAGATACAGGATTTTTTTTATAGTACAGTTATCCCATTATTTAAGTAGAGTGGGGGGCGGGGGGTCTCCAATGTGCAGTCTTTAAAATGTACATAACAAATTGATTGATCAATAATAGGTACTTATAATGACTACTCGTGGGTGTATTTGCCTCATGGTATTTAACGATCACGTCTAATAAATTTGTTTCAGTGAAGATAAATATGCCACGGATCCAAATCAAGAGTAAATATCAGTAAATATCCCAATTGTAAATACTGCCACTGAATGGCTTCCTTATTACACAGTTTCTTCTTCTTTTCAGGCACAAATACTAATACATTGGTTGCAAAAAAAATTTCTACTTTGGATTCCTAAGTTTTGCCTAAAATGCTTAACCCCAGCGCACAACATGTCATTGAACAGTAACTGTTATGCCAAATTCAGGCATTATTTGGTATATTTAAAATTCATGTATTCTTGCATGGACACCCTCTGGAAATAATACTGCTAATGGTCTGAAACTGATACTACATGTTATGGTCAACAGTTGTTATGGATGGATGGATAGAAGGATCAATCTTTGTGCTAGCCATCTCTTCAGTAGGCACTTAATCCTAAATAAACAGAGAAGTCCAATAAAACAAGGACCTTGAATCATAGAACAATATAAAAAGTAGTGGATATAATTTATAATTAAAGTAAATACTGAAAGTAGTGGATGTAATTTATAATTAACTATATTTTTAGAATGTTGATTTTTTAAAAATTATCTTTTATTTTTTATTTGATGTGTTACCAAAACAGAAGTCTTTGAAATGAATATTATGATGTAAAATAAAAAGTAAATTACCAGTGCCTATAAAATAATTCAGAATTAATTGATTAAGAAATTATGGAAATAAAGTCCACATATTGATATAGGTATAGCATAATTGTTGTCCAAAGGATCATTTCCCCCTCCATGGGAATGTATCTTATAAAAGACAAGTTCCAGTAATATTGAGTTTTTTATAGATGCCAACATAAAAGTTGTTTATCCTTTTTATGCATTAATAAAATGAATGAGTTTGCTGATGACTCAGGATCATAACCAGCATTTAGAATAGTACTAGGGACAAGTAAAAAGACTTTATATAATGGATTTCTTATGCTGGGTCCAAAATGAGATCATGTGATCACAGCAGGAGTTGGGGCTGTTGAAAATTTGAATCCAGGTCATGAGTATCTTGGGGGGCATCTGTCATAATATTGAACCTCCAAGAAACCAGTTGTAAGTCGAGGATTGCCTACACTTTCTTCTGCAGTTAAAATTCCAGCCCAGCCTATGCCTGGAGGCTCTGACCTCACCTCTGGTTCTTCGTTATAGCCCACGTGGACAATCCATGCATGCTGTGTATTTCCAGGGGTGGGCTTCAAAAATTTTAGCAAAGGGTTCTCTGCCCAGTTGCTGGTGGGCATGGCCATGGTGGGTGTGGCCTAGTCGGCCTCCTGCACCATGGTTGGGGGGGCACGTTTTTGCCTTCCCCGGGCTCTGGAGGCTTTCCTCGGCTTCCAGGAGGGCGAAAGCGGCCTCCCCGGACTCCGGAGGCTCTCTGGGAGCCTCCCAAACTTCCGGGAGGCCCAGTTTTTGCCCCCTGTGCATGCTCTGCACTTACCTCCATCCAAAATGGGCTGCATGGGGACTCCAGGGAGAGGGGCAGGGTGGGGCCAGCCAGGAGTGGAACTACACAGAATCTTAGCTAGGGGCTCTCCCAAACCCCTTTGAACCCCCAGCAGCCCACCCCTGTGTATTTCTCAGGAGTTTCCTATGCTATTTAGCAGACAGCCAGGATTTAGCTTATACAGAATGTTTAAGCCTGACTGCAAAGTGGGTCCTATCGGAACAGGGTTTTGTAAATATCAGTTGTATGGCTCACAACTTCTCAAACAACTGCCCTTGCCCTCATTATGGATGAAGAGTAGAGACCAGGGCTAGAAGCAGCGCTACTCCGACTGTTTCCATTTTGATCCTGAATTCTGACAAATACTAACCGTAGTTAGACCCATTGCAATGCATGCTCATGAGGTCTTTCTATTAAGGCTATGTATCCCCATTGGGATAAATTTTACCCATCATTTAACCTGAGTACAAGTAAAATGTTCATACTACACCTCTTCCGCTGTCTCTGTTACAGCTATTATGTGCAAATTTGCTCCTTCATTCTATTTATGGTCCAATAACTTTGTTCAAACATGCAGTGTGAAAGGAAGGATGTGCAGCAAAGCCTATTTCTGCTTCCAAGCTACTCTCTGAAGAATAGTAAGACAAAAGATTATAGAAGCTAAGCTTAGTTGGCTACATTTGTCATGATTCATGGTAGATAGGTTGTGTTAAATCTTGGTGTCAGGCAGTGGTGGGATTTAAAAAATTTACTACTGGTTCTGTGGGAGTGGGGTGGCTTGGTGGGCATGGCAGGGGAAGGATACTGTAAAATCCCCATTACCTCCTCCACCCCACTAACCTGCTTTCCAGCTCCGTTCTCCTATGCAGGGCAACAAAAGAAGACCCAGCCGATCAGCTGGGACTCAGAAGGCAGAGAATAGTTGGGGGGGGGGCAGTCAGAGGTGTTATTTGCCAGTTCTCGGAACTACTCAAAATTTCCACTACCAGTTCTCCAAAACTGGTCATAACCTACTGAATACCACCTTTGGTGTCAGGTAACATATTAATGCAGCCATAATTCTTTCAGAAAGCCATGGAATGAAGGAGTGAATTTCTACTTGAGAAAGGAAAACCAATATACTCCCAGCCTTTTAATTAGGATTAGGAATGCTGCATTTGCGTTGGCCTCAGTTTATATTAAAACCATTTAAGGCTAGAGTTACAGGCAAGAGTTGTGTCCACACTGTTCCACAGCTATTTGGTTTTTAATGAGACTTTCAACACATGCTGTTCTATCTCCTAACACTTGATGGCAGTGTAAATACAAGATGTTAGCGTATGTTTTCCTAATACTGCCTTAGGTTATGTAATTCAATGTGTCCGTTTCTTCTTTATATTTCTGAACAAATATAACCCTGACATAATGAAAGGATTAGGTAATCTGGACCTTTTTTTAATAAAGTAGGATAAAGTGACTGAGTGACGTAGAATGTGTAACTTACTGAGTCAAGATGGTGATACAGCCACACATAGAAGGTTAAGATGGAACTACGATCAAGGCTAATGTTGCCTTTCTGCTGTTTGAATAGCATCCCATTGAAAAAAAATGCTCAAAATTAGCTTTGCTGAGACTATGGCAGGGATATCTCCTAACATAGAGGCAGGGAGCACCCAAGTAATTGGCAAATACAGAGCGCATAAGAGGGAAGATGACTTTAACCCTAAATTATAAATCCAACAATAATTCAATTACAGAGATGAATCTAGGAGTAAAATTTAACGTCCTTTTGGTCTTTCCTTCCTTGATGAGCAAGCTTTCCTATAGACAGTTTTGCAGCCTAAATATAAGGAAGTGAATTCTTATTCCCCAGTGAACAGGTTCACTCCCAAGGAGGCTGGTGTTTCCCCTAACAATAGGGGAATGTATTTAAAATAGGGCAGCGGTCCCCAACCTTGGAGGCTTGGCAGCCAAGCAGAGAGGGGGGGAGGAAAAATGGGCCACGAAAGCAGTGGGCTGGCAACTCTACTTGCTGTATGGATGGGCGCTGACCCGGGGCTCACATGGCCTGGTTGTGAATAGGCCACAGCCCGGTAATGGGCTGTGGCCCAGGGGTTGGGGATACCTGAAGTAGGGGATAAAGGGAGCTTTACGTACAAAAATTTACCTAAGCATTGATTTAGCAACTAGATCCCATCTCCTATTGTATCTGATCATCCTAGCAGATGGCAGAGCCCAGTGGGTCATGTGATTAGGACACTGGGCTGAGGATCGGCAGGCGCATGTTCAAGGCCCAGTTGCTTTTGCATGATGGGGTGAGCTCCCGTCACTCACTTCATCTCCTGCCACCCCAACAGTTTGAAAGTGGGCAACTGCAAATAGATAGATAGCTTTGATGGGCAACTTAACAGGGACATGAAAGGAGCCCCAACTGGATGTCCCCTGGGCAACAGGGATGTCACCTGTTGATATTTTCACCACAGAAGAGCTGCCGTGCTTGTAGCACAGAAGTATAATATCCTTGGAAGATAAACGTCTTGTAAGGCATGATAGGAAATGCATCTATTTAAAAAATAAGAGGAAAAAAATGGTAAACTTCATTTGATTTTGCTGAAAAATTTTTTGTAAAGTGATGTAGAGGTTAAGCTATTGTGCCAGGAAGATGCAATAAAGATGTCAGCCTTAGTCATTAATTAGTCACTGAACCTAATCTTCTTTACCATGTCTGCTTGCTGTTGTGGGGATAAAATAAAGGGAGATCCCCATGTAAGCCACTTTGAGCTCTTGGAGAAAAGTCAGGATATAAATGTAACAAATAAGTAAAATATTATAAGAAATAATTGTTGAAGCATGGTCACATTTACCTGCAGAACTACTGAGGTATTGTTATACTAGATTGGAATTGCCCCCCATCTATTTGGCAGGAACCACATGGACAATTTTGGTGCCCAAATGAACTGCATTTATACAGAATGGAAACTGAACCAGATGATTGAAGTATAATTTAAACTGGCTCAGGAATTCTGGGAGTTGAAGTCCACAAGTCAAAAAAATGCCATAGTTCCCCACCCCTGCTCTATACTGTAACCCAAGAGATCTTGTCATACTCCCGTTGGAGCCTGAATCTGCAGAGAAGGATGAGCCGGAGCTGGAGCCAACAGAGATCTCAGGAGTGGCTTCATTGGCTTTGGAGGAGTGTGGGGAGGAGTAGGCCAAGGCAGCCCAGGGCCCCTCAGGGTTGGGACGGCTTGTTAGGGAGGAACGAGGGAAGGATGACTATGAGAGGGCAAGCAGTGGACCTGAGCGACAGAGCTCAGGTGATGAGCAAAGACCACCCCCTCCTGATCCCCGAGCACAGAGAGTGGAGAGAAGGCAGGAACAGCGCAGGTTGACCCGACAACTCAGGAGGAGAGCGCCCTGCCCCTCTTCAAAAGGCACACCTGGGGACTGAGATTTAAGGACACACTATGGGGAGGGGCATTTATCAGGAGCAAACACTGAATGGGTAGAGTTTGGTGTGCCAGTACAGACATTTGGAGTTTGCAGGACTTCTTCCTTACTTGTGAACTCAGTGCCTTCTTCCTGACTTCATGTACTCAGTACCTTGTTCCTGGTTTTGTGGATTCATTGTTGGTTCCTTGTTTGGTGGTCTCATTTCCCTGTTCCTTTGTTTTGTCAGAGGCTAGGCCAGAGGCTGTGTTTATGTGTGCGCTTTGCTCTGGGACGTGCCAAGAACATGGGAGTGTTTGAGGGAACATTGGGAGCATCAAAGGGGGTTTGAACGCTCAGCTGGCTGTGTGACCTTCGTGCCTTATCCTGCGTCCTCACAGATATTTAAATAGATAATTGTGTTTGCAGAGAGGAAAGAGGTTTACTTATTCTACTTTTACTTATTTACTTAAAACAATTACATAAAACAAGCATTGGTAGTCCTTGACTTAAAATCATTCATTTAATGGACATTGGAAGTTAACAGTGGCACTAAAAAAAGTGACATATAACCATTTTTCACACGGCTGTTGCACCATCCCCACAGTCACATAAGCAGAACTTGGATCCTTGGCAACTACCTCATATGCATGGTGGTTACAGTGTCCCAGGATCATTTGATTTTTGTGACTCTCTGACAAGCAAATCATTGGGGAAGCCAGATTCACTGTACAGCGGTCTTATTGATTTAACAACTGCAGCGATTCGTTTAACAACTGTGGCAAGAAAGGTCATGAAATGGAACAGAACTCACTTAATTATCTCGCCTAGTATCCGAAAAATTGGGCTCAATTATGTTTGTTAATTGAGGATGATCTGTAAAACTATAACAGGTTGGGGGCTCTGGGTGAGCTGGGGGCTCTAAGTATTCTACTATTAAAACCATCGTGCTCTTCCAACAAGAGACGTGGGTGAGACTAATGCGGAGAAGTTAGGCGTTTTGTTGTCTTCAATTAGGTGGTTGAGCTGGAAAATCCTAAACCCAGCAAAAGAATGTGGGGGTGTATTTTTGCCCAAAAAGTCTTGGGATAACTAGAACCAACCATGCCGAGCAATGACAGTGTTGCCTAGTTTGGGTAATGAAACGCCTGCAAAAAAAACAACCAAGCTCAGGGAGCACCAAGGACACCTCAGTTCAACCCTGAGCCACAAATAGTCTCCTTTATTGGAACTAGAACTAGTTTAGATAGAATTGGTAGGGAAAGTTTGAGTAGACACTTCAATAGCCTTTGCTCCCATTTTCTGCCATTGCAATTCTTTATTTCTTTGCTCATTCAGGTTAATGATTTCTGGCTTTCATATGCAGATTCAACCTTATGTATTTTATGTACTTAACCTGTATCTTACATGTTTCCTTTTTTGCTTTTCTTGAAGTACAGATGCTTTAATCTTACGCTCCAAAACTACCTGAGCTTGGTAAACTTGGTTAAAAGGAAACACAGGAGCCTTTTTTACTTAAAAGCTTAATCTTGGGGAAGGGGGATTTTCTCTCTTATTTCCTCCAGTTTCTGAATGAGAGGGGACCTTTCTACAATGGGATGCAGGATATATTTCTATTGTCCCAAAATATTAATAATGAAAATTAGAACAATGGAGTTCAGTAACATCCAAGTTTGTACTTTTGATTACATGCAGGGTTTTTTCCATGAGGGCCATATTTAAAACGGAAAGTAGAGGCAAGACAAAAACTAAACTGGATTTCATTTAGTTTATATGAATTTAATATAGTTACAAAGTGGTTAAGTGGTTAGAAAGCTAAGAGACAGTGAGTTTTAATATAACCTAAAAGCTAACTGAGTCACCTTGAGCTAGTAATACACTCTCAGCCCAACTCACCTACCTCACAGGATTCTTGTGGAAAAAATAGGAGGAATGTGTTGAATATGTTCACTGCATTGGATTATTTGTTTAAAAAAATAAAGGCAGGATACAAATAATAAATAAAAATAGTTACGTTTCATATTTTCTGCATTCCATTGGAGCATAAGGAAGTTAACAATATTATAAGGAAATAAGTAATAATTAAATTTTATTATCTTATTATTAATATTTTGGGACAATAGATACATTTTCCGCATTCCATTTAAGCCAAAGGAAGGTAACAATATTGAAAGGAATAAGGAATAATTAAATTTTATTATCTGTCACATTAATTGATTGGGGAGCTTATGATCTTCTGATTTATAACGTGGAAGGAAAACTTATTCTTGTTGACTTGTTACCATTTATATACATAGAGTAATCTAAAAATATCAAAAGGGCTATCTCTATCGAGCTGCCAACTTTCTTTCTCTCAAGTTCAGGTACTCATTCTCTGGAAGCAACTCCTTCTATCCATATGAGTTGCCAGTTGTCCTTAACTGGTAGCTCTGAAGAGCAGCAGACCTAGAACCGGTTCTATGTCTGCTGATGTTTTTGCCCACCCGCCCACTCGGGCTCTTAACTGATCTTTATTTCCTGCTTTTTCAACTTCAGCTGCCAAACGAGGCACAGCTGCAGTTAAAAAAGCAGGAAAAGCAGGCTGTTTCAAAGGCTGCTTCTCTGCACACAGCATGCTGATGATGATTTACAGGCTCGCAGCGTGCAGGGAAGCTCGTAAATCCTGAACCAGTAGTTAACCCTGGCGTATCCCACCCCTGTCTTAAGTGCAGGTCAAAGAAAAGGAGTTAAAGTTAAAACACTGTGTTGGTTCATTAGATACTTTCACTTTATATGCTTTGGGGCAAAATAATAGAACCAGGGAAAATTCTTGTCAAGAATTGAGAAAGTCATCTTTTTTGATTAGCAATCAAGGTTTGTTGACCTATGTGGGTGATACCTTTATGGTGCAAACAGGATTGTCGAACATAACCCTTTGCCTTAATAAAATAAAAAGAACATATTTTTATTGACAACTCAGTGTAGTGGTTAAGATGCTTGGCAAAAACCCAGGACACTGAATTCTAAGCTTCCTTTAAGCATGAAAGCAGGCTGGGTGACTTGGGCCAGTCACTCCCTCTCAGCCTAGCCCACTCACAGGTTTGTTGCAAACACCTCAGGAAACTGGTCTCTGTAGTCTGCTAGAGACTCTGTCATTGTTTGTTTGTTTTTTTGAGGTACTTAGGGTAGGGTTTTAAAAACAAGCCCTATTTTGACCATTATTTGAATGTATTATTTGATCAAAGCATGACTTTTTCTGACTGGATTGATCCTCTTAGCTTCAAATCACTACAATTAAATCTAGGTTTTCTACCGTACTAGCAGGTTTGACTACAATACCTAGTAACAAAACAATAGTTTCATATTCATCTGAACTTGGATAAATTTGAGTAATCCTTTCTTTCTTGACTTCTAGGTCAAAATCTATTTCTTCACCAGTGATCATCCAGTTTGGACATGCAGAGACTCTTCAGCCACTTCTCTCACTCATGGGCTATTTTAAAGACAAAGTGCCTCTTAACGCCAGCAACTATCACAGTCAATTGAAACGCAAGTTCCGAAGCGGTCGTATCGTCCCTTATGCCGCCAATTTGTTATTTGTGCTTTATCACTGTGATCAACCTAAGTCTCCTAAAGATGAGTATAAGGTTCAGATTCTTCTCAATGAGAAGCTCCTGCCTTTTACGTACTCGGGAAAAACAGTTTCGTTGTACACCAAACTGAAAAAACATTATAAATGTTTCCTTCAGAATTGTGAGTTTTCCAAAGTGTGCAGTATCAAGAAAAATGGTACTAACATTAAAGGGACATCGTAAAAAAAAAAAAAGACCAATGTTTCAACGTGTGCATATTTTTGGCAAAGGGAAATATTTTTGTTTTTGGCTATTAAGACTGGTGCACTGCTGGTGCTGTAGTGTTTTTTAAAAAGTCCTTAAATGTATATTTGCCATTTTCAATAGTGGCATCAAACCTGGAGCCTACTAGAAAGGCATACTGGATATTTCCAACTGATGAAGTTGCTCTATTCATGAAAAATAACTCCCTCTCTCCCTTTCCTAAATCAGGAATGATTGAAAAGTAATGATGTGCTGTTCAACATTCAGCTGACTCCATTGTGCTGGCTGCAGTCTGCTGTGAATAGTTCCAGAGTTAATGATAATGAAAAATGGTTGCTGGAATGCTAACTTGTAAAAAAGACGATTTCAACAAGTATTTCTTACTTTCGATTCCAAAGAACTTTCACATATTCCTGTTAATCTCAGGGGACTTTTGAGGCCATGTGAATTGCCTAAATATTCATTTCTCTGTATTCCATTTCAGTGGTTTAGCATACATTTGGGCAGCATAGTGGTAACTGACCATTCCATGATGCAATCATTTATTTTTGATGGTAGACTTTGTCCAGTAATAATGTTCAACTTCTAGGACCAGAAAAAGAAGGCCTGTGAACTTGCCATTTGGACAAAGGCCATTCCGGTTTCAGTATTCAACTATTCCAATTGTCGTCTTCTGTATTCATATTGAAGGTGAAGAGTTAGTGGGTTTTATTCCAGATCCAAAAAGATAAAGTCATTCTGTGATTTTTTTCAAAATCTGAAAAATGGCCTGAAATTTAATTTGTTGGGGTGTGAAAGAGAGGACTTAAAATGGGAATGAGAAATGTCTACCATTCTAACTCCGAAACATCACTGTTTCTGAAATAAAGTCCATTTTGCTTCTGTATCTCTGCATTTCAGCTTCATAACGTTAGGGGGACAAATACAAGTTATTAAGACTGCCTCCAGTCGAAGGGCGATTAGCTGCAAACTCCTGTTTAGAGAGTGGGTTATATTGCATGCTATAAAGTATATGGTGAAAATTCTCAATCTGTCTGTCTGTCTGTCTGTCTGTCTATCGATCTATCGATCTATCTATCTTCTTAACTTTTCACGGCTATTTATATGTATGGTATTCAGCTTTGTTCGGGTATTTTCCCACGTCGTTATA